CCACCTGTGGAATCTCCATCGAGGAGAGGCCAGCAGGTTGCCCAAGTCGATTGAATGGCTCGGGCCGCTGCCGAGAGACAGATAGGGAGCAGTGGGATGCCCCATGTAGGTTACGCAGGCTCCATCATGAATGACGGACCTGGACCTCACACGGACATACCCGGTAAGAGCTCCTCGAACCCATCACTCGAGCCATCGAGGTAACTTAACCGACCCCCACTTTTCATTTCCATTGCATGATCATTCATTCATCCATTCTCATGCATGCATTCATACATTCATTCATTCATCTATTCATCCATACATTCATCCCATACATCCAAGCATTGAATATGCAATTACTGCATCACAATGCTTCACGTCACATCATGAAGCGGTAGTCGTCTCATTCGATATGAGTGGCGACCGACCGAGGTTCGAAGGCTCGCCCGCGAAGGGCTCGAGGCCACCTCATGTCAAATAGAGCCAAGGGAGAAAAATGGAGATGAACCCCAGCGGCCCTTGCGTGACCTTGCTCAGAAGCGAACAGGGACATCTCGACCTTTCTTGTTCGATCCTAACCTCGAGCCAAGCCTACAGAATCTCCATCGACGAGAGGCCAGCGGGCCACCTGAGTCGCTCTCTAGAGCGACATGAGCATCTACCGGGAGGCGGGTTAAGGAGTAGTGGAATGCCACATGAGGGCTATGCTGACCCCATCAACAAATGATGAACCTGGATTCAACTCGAACATGCCCGTTAGCAAGGTCACCGAGCGTGACACTCAAGCCATCTAGGCAAGTGTCGTTAGCTCAACCCCTCCGGTTGCGAAAACCGCGGACGGGGTGACGCATGAAACATGGCTGACCCCTACCAAGCCCCACGGGGCTCAGGGGCTCAAGCCGCCCAACCGAACTCGGGAATCCACTTGACTGAGGTTCGAAGGCTGGCCCGCGAAGGGCTCGGGGCTGCCTCGCGTCGAATAAAGCCAGGGGAGAAAACATAGATGAGCCCTAGCAGCCTTTGCCCAACCCACTCAGAAGCAGACAGGGTCATCTTGACCTTATCGTTTGATCCTAACATCGAGCCGAGCCCATAGAATCTCCATCGAGGATAGGTCAGCGGGCCACCTGAGTCGCTCTCCGGAGCGACATGGGCATCTGTCGGGAGGTGGGTTAAGGAGTAGTTGAATGCCACATGAGGGATATGTCGAGCCCATCATGAATGATGGACCTAGATTCCACTCGAGCATGCCCAATAGCGAGCTCACTAAGCGCGTCACTCGAGCCATCGAGGCAAGTGACGTTAGCTCAACCCCTCCAGTTGTGGAAACCACGGACGGGGCGATGATCACAAAGATGAGCCAACCCTCAACCAGACCCCTATTATGCATGGGGGCTCGAGGAAAGTTGGACTCGCAAGGAGACCGAACGCACGGTCGCAGAACGATGGCTCAGATCCTAGGGAGGGGGTACGCATGAAAACAAGAGATGCTTTCTCCTACTAGTTTTGCTATCCTCTCCTCGATCTTTAGTGGCACCTGACCCCAGCAATGGCAAGGGGTCGGGTCTCACTCGGGGGCTGATAAGGGTATACATACACCCTTTCTAAAATAGTCACCACACCTGACCCCTTCCTCACATTAAAAAACCTAGTGGCAAGGTCTGCGGAAAGGAACGACTGAGTAAGGCTGGTCGGATTGTAAGAAACCTACGCCCCAGCGGCTATGGCACTCTTTCTTACCAGCGTGATCAGAGTTTTCCTCCTACACCTCGAGCTCTACGGTCTTAACCAACAGAAGGGTCAGAATGCATGAACCCCTTTTGACATGTAAAAAGGGAGGAAAAATAAATCCGTTTGCAACAAAACAAAATGACAACTTTGTTCAAACGATACAGAAGGGTCAAAACTTATTTGCTTATTACAAGAACGACCGTCCGACCTATTAAACTAACTAACCCCTCTAGGGAAGAACTATGCTATCTATCCTGTCCACCAGGTCCTATGAAAAGGGAGCCACCGCCATCTCTATCTCCTCCAGCTCATGGGCTTCATAGTCAGGCGCGAAGCCGTGGCTCATCGTCTCTAGGTCGATGCTATCCCCATAATGAGAATGAGTAATCGCGAAGGGCATTCCTCTCGATCTAGCGCACCTGAGCCGTGATCTCGATAGCACTAGCCATGAGTGAGCTGGTCCCCTCTGATCGCACCACCTCAAGATCATTGTAGACAACTCCAAGGGTGGTGCTCAGGATACCGAGCTCGTCACTCTCCGCTTGGAGATTCCTCCTTGCCTTGGCGAGGTCCACGGCTAGCCTGGTAGAAATGCTCTCAGCCTCCAGCTTCTGGGCCGTCGCATTTTCGAGCTAGGCCTGGAGGGAGCTGACCTTCTGCTACGTGTCCTCGTGCTCTTGGTAGGCCGAGTCATGCTCTCGAAAGGCCTGGTCACGCTCCTTGTGAGCTACACCACGCTCCAAGTGGCTGTGTATATGATTTCCCGTACATCGGTTAGTGCTTATTTTCAAATGTCAGTATCAATATTTGTGTTACCATTATACCAAGATAATGTGAACGACCATTTATCTTCTCATCCAATACGTCAAATAATATTTGTAGGGACGGCTCCAGAGGCTTTGTAGGGGTAGTTTACCCGGCCACCCCTACCCAAGCTCCTCTACAAATCATACATTTGTAGGAGCGGTTTCCAGACCGCCCCTACAAATCGATTTGTAGACAGCCGCCTCTATAAATCGATTTATAGGGGCCGAATTTCTAGAAATCACGAAAAAGGAGAAAAATAGCAATTTTTAATCCGAGGACGTCCCAACTGATAGCCACACAGCCACTCTATGGTTGTAGCATTTTTTATGATTTTGCACACTTTGCGTCGGTCAGGATTCGAACCCGCAACTTCTCTCTCACGCGCAAACTCCTCTACCACTGCACCTCACGATCACTCGTGTCTACGATCTATTTTAGTTCACCACATATTATACAAAACTGAACATAAATTAATTGTTTGAGGCCCTAAATCAATTCAAATAAAAAAGTTGTCAATTACAAAGTTTTATAACTTTTCGAGATCTACAATTTTCATTTTGGTAGTTTCTCTATCCGAGGTCACTTATAAAATTTGAATTTCAAATTTGAAAAATTCGAACGTAGTTTTCCATGACAAGATGATTTCAAATGAGAAAGTTATCAACTATAAAGTTTCATAACTTTTTAAGATCTACAACTTTCATTTTTACTGTTTGTCCATCCGAGGTCGTTTAAAAAATTAAAATTTCAAATTTTTGGAAATTCAAACGTAGTTTTCCTTGACAAGATGATTTCAAATCAAAAAGTTGTCAACTATAAAGTTTCATAACTTTTCGAGATCTACAACTTTTATTTTGGTTGTTTCTCCATCCGAGGTCGTTTACAAAATTTTAATTTTAGTGCTTAATTTTTAATACTCGGTGTCTATTTATTGGGGCTGTTCAATATTGAACCGCCCCTACAAATTTGATTTATAGGGACGGCTCTATATCCAGCCGCCCCTACAAATCAGGCCATTTGTAGGGGCGGTTGATAACACCAGCAGCCCCTACAAATCTATTTGTAAAGGCAGCTCATTTGATAATTATTTGTAGGGGCGGCTCAATATAGAGCCGCCCCTACAAAGAAAGGGAGGCGTTGCCACAATCGTTTTTGTAGTATGATCTCATTATACGAAAAAAAATCTTCTCATCCATTAATTATTGTGCATGAAATAAGCGCGCAAAGCGCGCTAAATTTTCTAATTCAAATTCATATTCACCACGATCTCAAAAGAAGAACAAACTCCATATTCCTATTCATTTTGTGTTTTAATTAAGGAAAAAGTCTACTTTACCTCCCTCGACTATCGCAAAAGTCTATTTTTCCTCACTTAACTAGAAAATCGGACATAGCTCCTCCCCCATCTTTTCAAACTCATATATGACCTCCCTATCTGTTTCTCTAGATGGTTTGTCTTCTTTTCTTTTATATTTATTTTAGCTAAATCTTTAAAAAATTATAGTAAATTATAGAAAAATTATAAAATGGAAAATCCGAATTTGTTAGACTCCACATGTCTACAGTAAATATATGATATGGTATGCTTTAGTACATAATTTTTTTTCTAGTTTTAGATCTATGCTTTTCTATGATTAATTCATAGTTGCAGTTTCTGTGGTCTTATTATGGTGAACTAACCATTGTATGATCGAGATGTATTAAAAATTTTATGCTCATTGGATCATGTATGACTGAGTTATAGATTTATTCAGGTCTATGCTTATTAATAATAGAAAAAGTATAGATCTAAAGGTAGAGCAAAAATTTTATACTAAAGCATACTATATCATATATTTACTATGTAGATCTCATGTGAAGTCCAACAAAATTGAATTTTTCATTTTATGATTTTTCTATATTTTACTATAATTTTTCAATGATTCAGCCGAAATAAATATAAAAGAAAAAGAGAAAAACCACTCAGAGAAAGGAAGTAATATGTCCGGTTTGAAAAGATGGGGAGAAGTTATGTCCGGTTTTCTAGTTTAGGGAGGAAGGGCTAGATTGGTTTGCGTCCAAAATTTGACATGCCAAAGTTAAGTAGAAAAAATTGCCATAGATCTGGTAAGCCAAGTGTGAAAGATTGACAAGTTTGCTACTAAACCAAATAATAGCCAAAATCATGATTTACCAAATGTTTGGCTTGGCAAATTTCAGAAGCCAACCAACCAGGCTCGAAAAGCTGACTTTTGTGATAGTCGAGGCAAAATATACTTTTTTTTCTTTAATTAACTGTAATTGGGCCCAGGCCTGCCTAAACTGCTTCCCCACTCTTTCCGGCCCAACCACGAACCACTCATCCCCCCGAGAAATCCCATCCCCTGCCGACGGCCTCCCCTTCCCGGAGCTCCAACCGAAGCGACCCCCACCAGCAGTGCAGCACGACCACTGGAATACCCACCGGCGACGGGAGGCGGCGCGGCCGGCGATTCGAAGCGATGGCGTTCACGATGCGAGCGGTGAAGGTGCCTCGGAACTCGGCCTCGCTGGAGGAGGCGCGGCACCGCGTCTTCGATTTCTTCAAGCAGGCATGCCGCTCCATCCCCACCATCATGGAGATCTACAACCTCGACGACGTTGTCACGCCCTCGCAGCTCCGCTCCACCATCGCTAAGGAGATCCGCAAGAACCAGAACGTTACCAACCCCAAGGTTTCCCCTCCCATCCCGTTCTCTTTCTCGTTCCCCCTCTCGATTCGATCCCTAGGTCCGAGGCGAAACCTTTATTTTGATTTCTTCTCCGATCTGGTCTCAGCCCGATCCGAGGGGCAGTGGAATCCGACATATGTTCGGTTAATGGGTGATTGGAGTCGTTCTTGATTGCTGTGTGGACTTACTTGCGGTGTTTCATTTGAAGACAGTTACAGTATTGTAACCTGCTAGGTTGCTACCCAATGTTATAATGCTGTCTAATGGACAGAAATGTTTGGTGGGTATTTTCTTAGCATTGCGTTGTGGATCACTGTCACTGTCCACCATAGTAAACTGTGAAGACATCTATCAACATGAATCCTGCTAAAGGAAGCATGAATTTGATACTTTGGGTACTCATTACTGCCTTACTGCAATTATGTGCTTGCTATTCCTCTAAATTTTGCATAAACCCAAAATTTACTTTTTTTTTTATTGTTTTGTTAGGCAGGGTTAACGATAAACTGTTTATAGTTCTAGACAGCTTGCTGATTGTTGAGACATTGGAGATATTTTATGAAGTAGTTATTCCTAAAAATGATGGTAAGACATTATTTGCATCTTCTAATGAAGTTTAATTTAATATTGTATCATTTGATCTGTTTATCTTAGGTTTGCTAGTTTATAGTGTCCCACCATGGGCCATGTTGTCCATCTAGAGGTGCTAAGAGTTGGAGTCTGCTGTTTTTTGGCCTTTTGGAATGGTACTACGATTGATCTCTTTCATAATTCAGACCATTAGAGATGCAATTACCTTCCACCTTGGCAAAATTCAAGTGTTTCACTCCCAACCCAATTTGATATTTTCACAAAATATGAAATTTTCCATTATCTTATCAATTTGTGTTTCTGGGATCAAGAGTCAAGATTGACTTGCAGGTTATAATGTGTACTACTTCTGTCCTAGAAATGATGCAATTCTATATTTAGTCCGAGTCAAACCATCTTAGCTTTGACTAAGCTTATGGAAAATATTATCAACATTTATGATTCCAAATAGGTACACTATGAAATATATTACATGACAAATCTAATGATACATATTTAGTAATGATAAACATTTTTTTATATAAATTTGGTCAATTTTAAAGTGTTTGACTTAACACTATGCTAGAGTTGCATCATTTCTGGGATGGGGAGGTAGTATGCTGTAAATGTGATATATATGGCTGATGCTATGTTTATGCGGGGAAATGAAACATGAGTAAAATGCATTGGCAGCCCTTTAACTTGTAAGACGGTGTCACCTGGGTCCATCAACTCCAAAAGTGCATTTCTATGTCATAAACTTTTTAAGTTGTTGGGGCATTCCCATACCTCTCCATCGTCATATATCTCTCTCCATTCAACAGCCCAGCATGGCGGATTGCACCTGCTGCTTCTGGATCTCACCTGTCTGTCTCAGCTCCACTGAGCAGCGTTGTGGCTGTGGCTCTGTAGTATTAGCAACAGCTATGCCCTGCTCGCGGAGCTCATGGCAGTGGTCAAGAATATCAAATGGCCGACTAGCCAGTGGTCTAAAGCAGAGGAGGCAACTAATGTCCACGAACACTGACTCCATAGCATCATGCTTGCAGCTGCGTGCTAGACGCGCTGCTCCGGCAAGGACGCAAGGTCATGGCCCCAAGGCCTGCAAGGGGCTCATTGCAGCTGCCATGCCGTTGCCCTATTACCGGCTTGTAACTGTTGAGTCACTAGCCGGCACGCATCGGCGACGATGCTTGGTGGCTCTAGAAATCCGGAAGGCAGCAAGCATGGCCTGCATGCCGCTGCAACAGGCTCATCGCAGCTGCCACACTGTTGCTGCTTTCGGCTTGTAACCGTTGATTCACTCGCTGGCACGAATCGGCTACCATGCTTGGTGGCTCTAGAAATCAGGAAGGCAGCAAGCGTGTTTGTAACATGAGGGAGGAAGAGAACAGCTAAGTAGAAGAAAAGATCCCATAAAGGATGAGGTCGCCCCTTTCCAGGCTGCAGACACGATGCTCGTCACCTCTGAGGAAGTGGAAATGGAAAGCACATGCTCCTACAATTTGGACACATGGCCTGCAGTACAGACGTAAAGTAAGCTGGCAGAGAACTAACTCCTTGTGGGAGCTGTCACAGGATGGGGACACAAACCGGAATCTGCCATTGGTGCAGCCTGTCAATCGGTGCAACTGTGCCAGTGCGGGGATGCATGGCGGCACACCTGCCAATGAGCAGTGGCGAGTGTGGCTTGTGGTGGCCTTTGAGAGTGCAGAGCAACCACGAGTTTGCCAACTCGGCTTGGCTGCACGGCAGCCTCGGTGCATCTCCGTGCTTGTGGTGGCCAAGGTAGGCTCTGTAGCAGGATAATGATAACGTGTCAACTCGCATGCAGTTGGCGGAGGTGAAGCAATGCTGTGACAGAGGCTAACCGAGCCTGCAGCTGTGGACCATGGTGGCGATGGCAATATCATGCAGCCCACTTGCTATGGAGGCCATAGATGGCATCACCAATGTGGTGGACTGTCATATTAAGTCTCACAGCACAATGGCATGCACCTGCCGTCACAGGGACTAGACAGGTAAGAGGTGTGTCTGAGCTCTCGACCTTGCCCATTACATACTTGATGAAATGCCATGTCTGACACTGTAGGGAAGAGAGATGGAGAGATGGGATGGAAGATAATAGTCAGCATGCCATGTCAGCAGTAAGTGCACACATGGAACGGTATGGACCTACGATAAACAACATAAAAATTTTATCGGCCTAGAAATGCACTTTCGAAGTTGATGGACCTAGGTGACACCCTGCATAAGTTGAAGGGCAGCTGGGCCAGCTGTTCATTTTACTCATGAAACATGCATACTTTATTTACTCCAGGGTAGACTTTCAAAAATCAAACACTTACATGACATCTACATATATTTGATTCTGAGTCAGATAATTGTGTGCTATAACCTGTAAGTGAATCTATTACTGAATTTACTGAAAGACATCTTGAAAAATGGAAATATACTACGCAAGTGATTTTAGCTCAGGCTAAAAGCTTTATAACTTTGTGCAGGGCAATGTACGATGCTTGAGGGTTCCTCGGTTTTTGTGGTATGTTTTCACCAGTAGCTTCCTTTATGTAGCTGTAATCATATTTTTTAAGGCGTCGCCTAGGCGTCACCTAGGCGACGACTAGTCGTCCGGGCGGATTTTCAAGCGCGGCGTCGCTGTCGCCGCACCGTCCCGGCGTATGGCGTCGCCTTGCGGTCGAAGGCGTCACCTAGTCGTCCTTCTCGCTGAGGCGGACGCCGCGGACATAAAAGGCGCGGGGAAAGAGCGGCGCCGCGTGCTCGAGCGGGCGGGAAAAGAGCGGCGCGACGCCCTCGCGCGGGAAAAGCAGCAGTGCCGCGCCTACACCTCCCGCCAAAGCTCCCAATCCCCATCGCGTCTGAGAGAGCGAGAGAGGAGAGGGAAAGGAAGGAGAGAGGAAGAGAGGAGAGGGCGGCGACGCACCTCAAATCCGGCGGCGGCGCAGGCGACTGCCCCGCGCAAGTCCGTCCCAGTCGCGCGAGGCCGCCCGTCCACGCGACTCTGCTCCGCTGCTGAGGCCGCCCGTCCCGTCCGCGTGAGGCCGCCCGTCCGCGCGACTCTGCTCCGCTGCTGAGGCCGCCCGTCCCAGCCGTGCGAAGACGCCCGTCCGCGCGAGGCCGCCCGTCCGCGCAAGTCCGACTCCGGCGCCGTCCGCTTCTGCTCTGCTCTGCTCCGCGACTCTGCTCTGCTCTGCTCCGTGCGACTGGCAGGTATATCCTCCCCTCCTCGTTCCTCTGCTGCTCGCTGCGGCTCTGCTCTTCCTCCGCGACTCTGCTCTGCTCCGCGACTCTGCTCTTTCCTCTGCTCGCTGCGGCTCTGTATGTTAGAGTATGTGTATGGCGTCGCCTCGCCGCGCGCCTAACTCGCCTGGGCGTCTGGAAGGGGGTGGAGCGCCGCACCTCGCCTTACCGCCTTAAAAACTATGGCTGTAATGTAAGGGGTGCTTTGGTTTTGTTTACCTTGACCATATCGGGTAAAACATACTCATGAGTATAATTATTTGCACCTGTTTGAATTTATAGTAATTACATATACAATCCTTTCAACTGCCATATACATTTTGTTATGCTATGTTTTGTCTCTACTTGTGTCAGTATTACTTCCAGACAAAAACTCTTAGCCTAACCCCCGTCACCAGATATGCACCATTTCATATAATTTAAAAGCTGACTTCAGCTTGATGAAAACTTGAAAACCATTTAGATTTAGGTCATTATCATCTCAAGGGAGTGAACATGAAGGGCAGCGAAGCTGTAACTAATGTATTCAATGACGATTACTGAAAGCAAGATCGTAGTATTCTCTGGTCAATTTAGTGTTGTCATTCAGTGGGTTTTACATGGTCACAGTGCTACCCTGAAGCGCATCTACTTTGTGGTCTGCAACCTCAAATCCAACACGGATTTGAGCAACCTTTTGAATTATTATTTACCAAGTCACAATCAATGCGCCCTTGGATCTATAGTTGAGTGGTGCCGTGCCTTTCCCTTTGTAGCCTTCCATCACTTCTTAATGTTCAAGTGCATGCTGCTTCTTTTAACCAAATGCCAAATAGAATTCACTACCTAAAATATTTTGTCAGTCTGTTTTGCTTGTGCTAGTTTGTTACTGTATATGATTCTTGTATTATATTGTCATTATCATAAGTCAACACTTTTTGGTGCCGATGTGACACATGTCATTGTCCACTGCTTTTAATGTGGGTTTTCAAAGATAATTGTCTGAGTGGCTTCAATTTTTACATAGGATGGCACTCCAGGATTCCTTATTTAACTAATTTTGTTTGCTCGCAGGTTATTGATATGCTTCTGTTCAACGGGATGGAGGAGCTGAACAACATAGTTGAACATGCAAAGCAGCGCCACCATGTGATTGGGCAGTATGTGATCGGCCAAGAGGGCCTGGTGCATGAGCTTTGGTCAAAGGATCAAGGGAACTCCGACTTCCTGAATAAATTCTACACAAGCAATTACTTCTGATCTGAGTTGCAGACTTCCACCATCTGGAATACTTAGGTGGTGCTCTGAATAAGACACTGAGGACCTACCAGGACCAGTTGTTTCACACTGGAGGTTTCGATTTATTTGGCCGTTGAATCCTCTGTTCAATATAATATTGCTGTTAGCTATTTGACTTGTTTACTGTTGTACTTATCAAATTGGTGTTTATGAGTCGATTCGATTCTACAAAGATTGAACTTTCCTGAGTCCTTTCTTACTCCAGTGAGCACTGAGCGGTGAGCTGCATGACAGGGTTCAAATGGACTGGAGAAGTCCGAAACTGCAAAAAAGAATGTTTCGTGGCTCTACCTTCCTCTTGTGTTACCATCAAATGAGTTTGTACTGTGCACTTTTCTGGAGTTTTAACTTCTGTTTCCTAGTGGGCGAATTGGCCACAAGTAGGGACATGATATTAAAAAGATGATTTTTTTGGCTTTGCTATATTGTACCTAAACCCACCCATTTCCACATCCATTTTTTTGTCCATTAGATTAAACTGTCCAACATCTTGCCTCCTCTTTCCTTCCACTGACATCGTCTGTCTTCGCAACGCAGCTCGTCCTCTCGATACGAGTGCTCCTATCTCTACCACCATAATCATCTTATCCAACTGCAACAAACCATGCCGTTCTTGCCCTCAACCCACAACAGCCCTGTCTGCCCTCAACCCACAACAGCCCTGTCTGTCACCCTGTCCGCCTCTGACCACCTCGCAAGATGGAGGTTACTTTGATGGCAAAGCCTTTTGGAATTCTGGAATATGAAGGAGAGCTGTGTATTGTCCACAAACACACCCCCATCGCTAAACATATACATGCGCGCCACATGAAGTTTAGAAGTAACAGCCACCAAAACATATACAGCCTCTATTCCATTTCTAGACAAGTCCAGGCGCGCTAGACTCTTGGGCACCAATCAGCCCCCACAGTTGAGCTTCCTCTCTTGCCTAGGACACTTTGTGAAAGAGGACACGCTGTGATCTATATAATATGACATACTTTGGTTTCACTATAAAAATATTAAACTATAAATGTTGGGTAAGAAATTACTCAAGCATCAAAGTTTGAACACAAGACAAAATTGTATTCATTTCATCATCATACTGTACATGTCGGAGAGGGTATTTAGGCCTCAGTCTTCGTATCTTATATAAAATAACTATTTTACCTCTAATTCAAATATTTACAACCCTTTTCAGCTATAAGGGCGAAGTGGTAATTTTACACTACTTCAATCCTTCATCCCTCTATTTGGCCATCATTCTTCTGGGAAATTCTGCCTTTTGTCTTAGTCGATTTCTGCTCTGCCTTTCTTTATCTTCGTTAATCAGCGAAGTCAAATCTTTACCCGCGAAGTTAAACTTCTGTCTTGCTTTGGTTTGACTTCTTTATCTTGATTTCTCCTTCTTCTTGGCGAAGTCAAATATTTTCATACGAAGTCGAAATGTTGTCTTCCCTTTCCTTTTTCCTGCAAACAGATTTCGTTACGGAATCTTAAGAATTTAGCTCTAAAGTTTGGGGCTGTGTTTTGTGACGAAGTTAAATTCCCAACAATAAACGTATACTTTAATGATAAATCATGTAACATCTATCTAATCTAATTAATATTTATGGTTTTTAAATATTGATGGGCAAAATTTATTTTTTGTACTTAAAGATAATTCTAGTGAACCTATATTCAGGGCTAGATGTAGTATTACAAAGATTCTTTTGTAATATTCATATTACAAAGATTGTATACCTATTTGGACGTTAATAGATGAAATCATATATTTCTAATGTAAATATGTAATTGATGTATTTGATATCCAAACAAATTTGAAATAAAAACAACTGTTGCTTTTGTTTGCAAGTCCACTGGATGCGTTTCTGGGTCATTCTTCAGAAAAGTGCGATAGACCGACTTTAAGATGGACATATGGAAATTTTCACTAGAAAGGCATGAACGGGTGCGTGTATTCTAATAGACTTGGTGTTTAGGTGGCGGCTATTGTTTTTTTTTGTCACTCTTCGAGAGCAAGCTGTTTTTAATTTGTGTTTTTAATAATGGATGGTTGTGTGCACAACTTATGTCTAGAATAAATTTTCTTTTTTCTGAAAAGTTTTTAAAGTATTCAATCTTTTAAATTAAAAAAAACATTGATCACGCCATTTTGGATACAATAGGAAGTCTTTCCACCTGATTAAGGCCTTGTTGGGTCGGCCCTGTCTGGATTCTAATCCCGGCTCAACCTAGCCTTTCCCCGTCACCCTGTCCTGGGAAATTAGAGTCTTTTCCCCGTGCGCTATTATAAAAGTTTCAAATTACATACGTGTCATTAAAAAAAGTTGAGCAGACACAGGTGCCATTGATTCAAACTTTTTTGCCCTCCATGCTACTCCGTCCATTTTTACCTCATGCGGTGTCAAATTGTGGTAAAAAAAAGTCTAAATGCCCTCAAGTCTAGATGATGTGCAAAATTTCATTGCTGGTACAAGTGTACGATGTCTTTTAATCTTGGCCACCGCTCTAGAGATGAACGATGGAGGTTCATTGCTGGTTTAAGTGTATTTTCTAAAGTATTTTGAAATCATTTTCCTAAAGGAAAATGGCCGTATAAGGTTTGAGCATGACTTCACGGTGAGGTCATCAAGCTAGATTGGTTTCACCATTGTTGCAGGAGTGACATATCTTGTGGTGCAGAAACATAGGGCTTGATTGGTTTCTGTCTCGTCCCGGCCTAGTTCGTATCTGAGAGGCTGACCCACACTGTACTGGCTCATAGAATACAAACGCGTACTTAAAACAAACTTCCAACACTTCGTAGCTCATGCAGGGACATGTGCTGATCACTGATGGACCGGTATACATAATCAGTAATAGGCAGCTTTTTTTTTTAAACGAATCATGCACGAGCTGCTGACTATATTAAAAAGAAGAAGAACCCGGACCGGCCAATACAACAAAGCTACAACAACAACGACGGGTGAAAGCAACGAAACCTAAAAAGAAAACAACAGAAGCAACAAACTCAACTATCAACAATGGCAGCCCTTTTGCTTCTTCATCTTATTAGAAACTGTTGATGAGTCACCATGAACCACCACCACCAGTGACACATAATTCTAAAAACTCTCTCTTCATTCTCTATTATATGTTGACGTTGACTTCAATTTCAATCAGAGTAGGTACATTGTCCGAAGTTTTCCATATGATGATCTAAAGATAGTGTCCGCAAGAGTTTCTTTAGTTAACGCAAACTCCCAGGAGTTGACCCATGCATAGCTCAAATATCTAGTATAAAGCAAGTCTTCGTCTCCAGTAAGAGGTGCCATCGATCCACAGCAGCCTCCTACATTCATCTCACACTGCCAGGAGGAAATAATGGCAATGAAGGTGTACGAGTATGGGCCAGCAATGTCGACGAACGTGGCACGCGTTCTTGTCTGCCTGGAGGAGGTCGGCGCAGAGTACGATGTAGTCCCCGTCGACATGACCACCAGCGAGCACAAGAGCCCGGCGCATGTTGCCCGCAACGTACTCCGTCCAACTCTTCTCCATTATCTCTATGATCCTCCCGATTAATGTATATCTGGTGGCGCTTTCTCATATATCGTTATTCTTTTCTTTACTTGATTTTGCAGCACTTCGGTCAGGTCCCAGCTTTCCAGGATGGCGATCTGATTCATTACGGTGAGATTGCAACAAACAATGCTCGTTCCTTGCTTGGTTTGATCCAATATTATTGAAATAGATTCTCTCTTTTTTTTCCAAAGGAAAAATGATAGAAAGATTTTGTTTTACCTGTGTCATTGCTTTGCATTATATAAAGTTTTTTCTGGCAAAAAATATAAAGGTTTTTTAAGGAAAACTACGACAACCGTTTTGGTTGCCTCTACATATGCATAACGTAAGTAAAATAATGCAGCGAGGTAGTTACGTTCAAAGAACGATGCGGTGAGGAAGTCGCCCTGTTCCTACTTCACGAGTCCTTTTCAACAAATAAAAAGTGTTTTTCTCTCACAACAAATCAGTATAAGCCAAATTTCAGCGAAACGAACAGGGCCAAGAAAAGCTGCTGTGGTTAAACAAGCTCGCTGCATTCTTCCCTTTACGTATCTATATATAATAATCGTACACATATGACAATTTATAATAATCGTACACATATGACAATTTATTAGTACGTACATATATCTTAACAGAGTCCCGTGCAATTTCAAAGTACATCCTTCGCAAAGACGGGTCGGATCTCCTTTGAGCACTACTACAGAAAACTTTGTGGAGGAGGGCATTTTGGATTTTTGGAGGCGGGCAAAGCGCCCGCCAAGCAACCACCTCTTTTCAAAGGTCATCGTTATTGGGCAGACCACGGAGTCCGCCTCGGTTAATCAATACGAAAAAACAAAAATAAAAAATAAAAAAGCCCGCAGCCCAGCCCTGCCCCGCGCGCGCCACCGTCCCTGAGCGCCACCGTCCCTGAGCGCCGCCGCTGCTGTCGGGGGAGCAGGCCCTGCCCCGCGCGCGCCACAGCTGGGGCTGCTTGATCCACCACCGAGGGAGCTCTATCCGCCATGTGCACGTCCACTGTCGCCGGATCTGGCCACCGTACCTTCACCGGAGTAGGGGCCGCCGCACCTCCGCCTCGCACCACCACGCCTTCGCCGAATCTAGCCACCGCACCTTCGCCTTGCCCTACGATCGCGGATCCAGCCACCATGGTCGCGGATCCGGGCACCAGCGGCAGATCCGGCCACCATGGTCGCGGATCCAGCCATCAGTGCCAGATCCGGCCACCTTGGTCGTCGGAGAAGGAGCCGGGGGAGGAACATGAGCCAGCCGCCGGGAGAGGAGCCAGGGAAGGAGCTCGGCAGGAGGGTAGGAGCTCGCCGCTGGGAGGGAGGGGAGGGGTGGGGCGCCACGGGGAGGGGAGGGGCGGGCTGGGAGAGGAGTGTCGCCGTGAGAGAAAGTGGAGGGGAGAGGGGCGCCGTCATTGGGAGTCGGGAGGGAGGGGGAGCGTCGTAGGGAGTGAGAGGAATGGGAGGGGAGACGCGCGCCGTAGGGAGTCGGGAGGGAGGGAGAGCGCCATAGGGGAGGGAGAGGGTCGGGAGGGAGGGAGAGAAATGCTGAGAAACCCTAAGTCTAGGTTATATAAAGCCCGGTAGAGGATAGATATGGGCTTTTGCTTGGGCTGAGAGCTGGGCCACCATTTTTGGAGGCGGGCTTTATAGTGCGCCGGCCTCCGGAAATGGATTTATGGAGGCGGTTGCCTTAAGATGACCGCCTCCGAAAATAGAGGATTTTTGGAGGCGGTTGTCTTAAGACGCCCGCTTCCGTAAGTCGATTTTAGGAGACGGTTCTTTTTTGACCGCCTCTGTAAATCGATTTAATGAGGTGGGCAAACGTGACCGCCTCGATAAATGAAATTGACTGCCTCCATTAATAGCCCGATATTTTAGGAGGTGGTTGAATTTTGTGCCCGCCTCCGTTAATGTATGGGCACTGCCTCCTAAAATCATTTGTGTAGTAGCGGAAAAAGCAACCTCGCCGAGTCAGCAATGGTGGACGTTTGGCTGGAAGTGGAGTCGGGCACTTCACCAGCACCATGTCGCCCATCATCTTCCAGTGCTTGGTCGTCCCCTTCCTGGGTGGCGAAACTGACACGAAAATTGTCCGGGAGAATCTAGAGAAGCTCAAGACGGCCCTAGTGGTTTATGAGGCACGTCTGTCCAGGTTCGAGTACTTAGCCGGAGACTTTGTCAGCCTGGCTGATATCAACCATTTCCCGGCGGCTTACTACCTGCTTGGCGGGTCCCACGCGTCAGTGCTTGATGCATATCCGCATGTCAAGGCTTGGCTTGCTGAGGTAATGGACAGGCAAAGCGTGAACAAGGTCGTAGAGCTTATGAAGCTGCCATCAGCCTAAGTGCCTGACGCCCTGACCGCATGAAGCAATACTGCTGGGGGTGTGTGTGCAGAGTCCATGTTATGTAGTTGCGTTTTTCGTTTATCTTCTTGCAGATCGCCGCGGTGCCCATAACATTAGTGTCCATTGAATAAATGATCAACATGTCTACACTGCATAAAAAAAGCACATCACAGACACATGTTCAAAGACATCACTTTTGTAATAAGCACATACTATAGACGCGTATTGCTAACACGCGACTGTGATATACAAATACTGGTGGGAGTAAACACATGTCTAAAGTAACACCTTACCAGCAGAGATGTATGTTACGAAGATGCGTCTGTGATAAGGTTAACACACATCAGTAAAAACTTTCTGCTATAGACGCATATTCTTATCACGCGTCTATAGTAAGAATCATACTATAGATGGTATTTATAAATGCGTCTGTACTAAGAGCCATACTATAAATGCATCTGTATGAAGCACTACAGACTAGTGTTCTTAACACGCGTGTAGTATTTCCTTACTACCTACGGATCTCACAAATATAACACAAATGACATCAGATCACTTCGGATCACTTAACAAATGACATATATACACATCTGTCATACTACATTGTTCATCACACAAACACAGATCAGTAGTACTTTATTTGTTCATCAACACATATCACATGTGTAGCTCCAAACTCACACAGCTCCAAACTTACATAGAACATGTGTTAAGCAGCATTGTACCTCATCACACAGCATGAACATATATACAAAGGCCCTTCACACAGTGCCTTTGTATGCTTCCAATGCATCTAATCTTATTCATCACTAGTGGACATGCACGTGCGGTACGCACGTGGATAAAAAAGAAAAGTCAATTGCTAATTATTAAGATTTTTGGAGGAATAACAATAAATTTTAAAGGATATTTCTACAATGCACGATGATACAATTACATTGCCCAAATATTAGCTTTGGGGATAGTTCATTATTAACCTATATATATGGAGAGAGTGCAATTTCTCCATCATTCTCACTTGTTCCCCCAGCCAACTGGGTCTTCTGACCTGCAAGACAACTAGATGACATATATTTCAAACTAAAAAGCTAGAACTGGACTCAGAAATATATATAGTTACATAAGCACATCATAAGTCAATATTCACTGTGTCTAATTGACTATTCTCAATAAATACTTGGGGCATTTCTTCCATGTAAGAGGTTTGTGTGCAATTGTGTTGTATACAATGGCAAATTGTTTCTGGTCCCAGCAATAGTATACAAAGAATTGTTTCATATACTGTTCAATTTAGAAAAAACAGAGATTCCACCTCAATTTCATTGTCATTAACGAGTAACTTCACATAAAAAATGCTAAGTAATTGTATTCACGTGGTTAAGTTAGCAAAGCAAAAGCATGATTAGAAACTATAAGATGCACTGCTAGCAATACCTCTAAAAGAGGAGACAACAGAAAAAGGCAGTACAAGAGGGTTGGAAAGGTTGTTTCATCGACCTAAATACATTAATACATAACTGAGCTAGGCCTAAATACGTTTATTACAAGTGTGACCCTGTATCATAACATTTTACACAAAAAAAGGAGACAACGGGAACAATAACATGAACATACAGGAACTCCCTGAATGCCTGTGTGATGCAAAGTGTTTCAATTTGTTGCAGGGTCGAAATCGCGGCAAGTATTGTAGTTCGTGGTAGTGTCAGAGTGCGTGTCTCTGGTGGCTCGGGGGGACTCAAGAACACAAGAATCACAGAGGGGATGCAATGGTTTATCTTGGTTCAGGTCGATTGGTGCCCTACGTCCAGCAGCTGATGATCTATATACTCAAGAGCACCCAAAATCTAGGGGTTACAACAGAGTGTAAGGGAGAAAGAGAGAGATTTGGTAGGGGATCGCTCAGTGCTGATCCTAGGGACGCCTCGCCGTCGGTGGAGCCTTCCCCCATGTCGGAGAGGAGGAAGACGATGGGTGCGGTGGAGGAGCTCTCGGTGCTACTCTCAGGGTTGCCCTGCTCTCGGTGTAGAGCGTGAGCGGAACGGTGAGGACTCAAATGATCTACATGGAATCATCCCCCCCCCTCTTAGGATCCAACCTTCCCCTTATATATCAAGGTAGGTCAGATACATGATGCTTTGGGGGAGTTGAGCCTATGGTCTACATGCACCGGAGTCTAGGACGGTTTTGCAGCGGTGCCATGTGGACCGTGGTGATGTGTGGAGCCGAAGAAGCTTTGGGCATCGTCCGGCTGCTCTGTTCTAACACACCGAGTGTCAGGATGTGTCGACTTGGAGGCTTCTTGATGGAGAAGGAGGTCGGCTTGAGGGGTTGACACGCGGGCCCAGAAGCCCTAGAGCCCCTAAAGCTAGCGGAGGAGTTTGTCTTCTTGTGTCACGCCTTGTGCGTGACCCTGTCGGAGGAGCGGTTGATAGAGCCGCGCCCGTGGGGCAGCGCTGGGGAGCCGCCAGGGTTCGATGGGTCAGGGCACACCTTTCGGTGCCCGGGCCTTGGCCGGTGCCAAAGGCCAGGAATGATCCAAGGATCTGGTCTAGGCTTCCATCGATCGAGAGCCTATGGCTCAGGCGAGCCCCTGAGCTCCGAGTAGAGGCGGCGAGCATGCTCAGGCTTGGCCTGATTCCTTGACCTGAGGGTACACATGAGCATACCCGATGGGTATAGCCCTCGAGCCCTCGAGTAATCCTAGAGGGGTCGGTCGGGGGTCTATCGATCATGAACCTTTGATCCAGAGGTTTAACGTACCCCTATGTTAGGGTCTCATCATGAGCCCTTGAGCCCTTCGTGGACTCACTTGGCCAGATTCGTGATGGCGATGAAGGGCTAAATTCGATCTTCTAGTGACCGAGCTAGCCATGACAGACATGACTTCCATTGATGAGAGCACGATGCCCTTCATGGGTCCTTTCCCAAGTGTGATGGGGGCGCTCGGCTATCAGGGCCGAGCGATAGTGATGCTGACCCCTTTCTTGACCTACGTTGCGTAGGTTTGAGGCCCAAGCTAGGGTCTAGTGAACTCATCTTGGAGTTGCCGGCCTTGGGCCCGGGGGCACCCTCCTTTTTGATCTAGGCCTACCGAGGGTCGGGTGATCGAGAGCATCTGGGCTCTGGCTCGGGGCCACCTGATCACCTGCCGTGCCACACCCTTCTCGGGCTTCGGTAGCAGGCCCCGATCCTCTCAGGCTGACCTTAGCAATCATAGGTCGGGGTGCAAGCAGCGTGTCGAGCATGGATGGGGCCCACATTGGGCCCACCACTCAGCGACTCTAGACCCAACTCCGGGGAGTTGGTTCATTTTGGGGGCGTGCCGTCTGGGCGCCCGTCGATCGGGGGGCCGGGTTCTCCATCTAGGGAGTCGGCATAGCCCCTGAGGCCGTCGTGGGGCCTCAAGCTTCTCACTCTTAGGCGAGTTCGTAGCTCAGAGCTGCTAATCCCTTGTTGGGTTGGGCTGCTATGACAATAGCCTCGATGGCAAAGATTGCAGCGCCCGTGCTACTAGTAGGTAAGCCCATGAGATCCCCAAGTTTACGGTCGTTCCATGCCTTGGTCGTGTCCCCTAGGGGGAGATTCTCGGCTTCCCGATTGATCTGCTTGTTTGGTTCCCGAGCCCATTCCACCAAGCTCGGGGGCTCTTTGCCTCCCTCGGTGGGTCACCTAAAGCAGCTGAAGGCTAGTACTCGGACATCGCTCATTAGGATGGTCAAGACGCTTCTAGGCGTCTCAGCTATGGCCACGTGGGACCGTCTCCTGAGTGTCCCTTGAACTTCATTTTTTTTCTCGGGGTAGCCTTGAAGCTCGAGGGAGCCGACTTTGAACCTTGGGTGGCACCCCCTTTTCTGGCGGTGTCCCTTCCGCCCGTTCGGGGGGTGGGCTCCTGTTAGAGGGTTAGATTAGAGGTATGGAAACGAAATACGGGAAAAATGAGCTATGGGTAAAAGCGATGTAGTTGTTTGATGTTCCATGTATTGTCATACTCTCTCCCTAAAATATATTGCCGGATCATGCGTGAAATGCGGAAAGGACCATCCCATGGCGGAGACAGCTTGTGGCCCTTCTTGGACAGGACGGTCCTTCAGAGGATGAGGTCATTGGCAGTCCATAACTACCAATTTTACCCACCAATAAAGACATAAAAAGAGGAGAAATTGACATACTTATACATATATGCCTTTACTATTAACCTAGTTCCACATGGATTTGGAGATTTCTATTTTGCAGGACATAAACACGAATACATGGGAAAATACACCAAAAGGCGCATTCTGACAAGGCGTAATGCTGAATTGCGCAAGGGAATAAAGTATAAGGCCCAATCTACCCAGATAATTTGGGTGTGAAACCACCCAAGGTGTAACCCAGGCCCAACCAAAGATCCACCATGTGAAGGCGGTGGTGAGATGGGCTGGCTAGGGTGCGACCGCACCAGGGGTACGAGCTCACCGCCCCCAGCTCCGCTCGGTCCCACCTTTGGAAGGCGGTGCCATCAATGCATGCAGAGGCGGTTTAGGATGGTTTCCAAGTTTATCTCCCCCAAAACCAACCTCTAGCTAGTATAAATAGATAGGGAGAGCCCCCTCTCTCAACACACACCATTTGGAGCAACACCTCAATCTCTACCTTGTACTTTTATATTTTAGTAGTCATCTAGAGCAAGGCAAAGCTACCTTGTAGGGCTTGACTCCTTGGAAGAGATTCTTGGTATGAATATCAATATGAGTTCTTCCAAAGTCTTGTTCTTATCTTATAATTATAGTGATACTTATGAACTAGAGTATAGTCTTTATGTTACGATCTTAGCATATGAACTAGCATATAGTTTTGATGTTATGAGATTAGCATTCATGACTTTATGCTTAATTATTCATATAATAAATATGATTAGAATTAGAGCTAAGTTGTGGTGGCAGTTCATCGTGCCTTCGGGTGTGCCCAAGTCTTTTACTTGTCGATCCGTAGGGTCGGAGTCCCGGGGGGATTTAGGT